TACATTAATTAAGTTTAACCCTCTTTACCATCTAAATTTTAAATTTAGAATCATATTTTGGTAAAAAAAATCGACTTCTGAAATTTCTTTTCCGTCTAACACTATGAAATATTTATTTTAACAATTTTGAATTCTATAAAGTCCCTTAAATCTTATTATGTCATTGTCAGCATAAATCTTAAATTAGAAAGACATTCATCAAAATATTTTAATGATATTTAAATCTATATTTGGTACCAAAACCATCTTTAAATTAAGTTGTGAATTAAATGAGTAAAATATCCAATTTTATTGTAAATAGACAAAAACATTTTTCATAGAGGGGGTTTTGTTTTATCATTATCACACCAATTTATATTGGTTGGTGAAGTGATCTATCACTTTTATGATGAGGCTGCTTTTCATATCAATACAAAAGATTCACCATATTTTGCCAAGTATACCAGGAATGGCAAATTTGTACGCTTTTTGTAAAAATTTATTTTAGTAGTAGCTATGTTTATGTTTTAATGTGTTACTTTTCATTCATTTAAACTTGTTTCCACACTGCGACGTATAAATGATTTGAACGTTTTTACGCAACGCCACTTTCTTCCTGTTTTTTCGAGGTGAGGCTTTTAAAATGTTGGCAAAATTACCAAAAATTCTGAAAGTTTTGGTTCTTTAATGTCTACTTGATAGTCGACTAAACTGTTGGAATATACATTAGGTCTACCGGAAAATTTTATCCGTGGAAATACACGCCTTATTATTCAAAGATGCAAAAGTTGCCTTCATAAAAAAAGTGGTATTGTGCTTACTCGTACATAATACATATACCCCTGTCGGATACTTTCGTTACATGTTTGAATATGTTGCATCTTCTTAAGCTGAAACAATATTATTGAGTTTCCAAGGGTCTTTTATAAAAGAACCTTTTGTATTACTGTAAATGGAAGTGTCGCAGACAGAACTTTCTGGTAGACCTAAAACTTGTTTTTCATTTTTTCGCGAATTTCGTCTTTTAAATTTATTCAAATCATATAAAATCATTTAAATTGATTGCTTTGAACACGTATTCCAATTGCTGTTCTTAAATATCGGCAAAATGTAAGATTGAAAAAAAGATTCCTAAATCATACTCTGGGGCAGATCAATACGTGTCAAATGATGTAAAAAAGTGGTGAACTATTGAAATACCAAACATTTAAACTATTAGTTTACTATATAAAATACTAATACACTGGAAATTACTCATGAAAAATAATAATAAATAGTATCCATAATTATTAATGATACACTTCATTATTTCTTGTTTTGAAATCAACCTTGATTCAATGAGAATAAGTTTATGTGAACGACAGACGGTGTTTAACATTATGTCAAAGCGGAAACGATGATTATGACGTTCCACATTATTAAATACGCCGACCAGCAGAGGAAAAAAAATATGGAAGAAAAAAAAAAGAGATTCGAATACTACCAGACAAATAGGGCTTTGTGAATTTGGAAAGTGTTCTAAATCCTTTTTCTTTTTTTTCTTTCTATTTATTTCTTCTTGAGCAACGAAGCAAGTTAGTTGAAAAGTTTTTTTTCCCTCCTTTAAAATAAATAAGTAAATAAAACATAACATCATTGTGTATAAACAATGAATTTCGTTACTTTTCCTTTTACTTATTATTTTCTTTACTCTAGAAACAAAATCTATAATTTTTTATTATTTCTGAGATTCAACAAAAATGTAAAGCTAAAATTGTATGTTTGTATAATATTCAACACCAGTATACTGCCGTGAAATTGAAAAAACAGCAGAAGTGCTTCACGATTGATTTCGAGAGGAGTGGTTTAACAACTATTTTCTTTTCATTGTTAATGCTATAAATGCTAAATATAATTTCAGAGAACTGATAAAACAAAATTTAATATTGAAAAAAAAATTTAAATATCTTAGTTTTGAGCATCTTGTCGCTTGAGTTGATATTTTTTTTTTCGCACAGCGGAATAATTCTTAAATTTTATATTTAATGTAATCGTTAAAACAACGTTTCGCTTCCTTTTTGGGAAAATATTTTTTTCGCCTGACATAAGACAACCCAATCATTTCATTGTTGGATGAGCATAATATGCATGAGTACCAAGATATTTTAATAATGCTAAAATGTACATTTCGTTTTTCATGTCCCTCAGTTGTTATCATTTTAAGCCCAATTAATAGGTAAAAGGGAAAAAATATCCACCTAATTTATTCGCTACTTTAATTCTTCAAAAAGTGGCAGATGAACAATAAAATTAAAAGTCCTTATTGTGGATAATGACCATAGAAAAGGAAAGTTTTTAAAATGCAGTTATTAACACTTTGACGTAGAATTTTTACTAAACATTTTTCCATAATTTGTCGTTATTTTGTATTAATTAAAGTCGAAGATATTACATTAAGCATTTCTATAATTTATGGTTATGAAATAACTGCGGAAAACACTGCGTCTTTTTCTGTGTTAAGTCTTCCAAACACGAGTCACTTCTAAACAATATTTTTTTCAACTTTCAACTCATTTATAATTATTTCGATTTGAGAAAAAAGGTTATTCATCATTGAAATTACTTTAATTAACAAAATCAATTATTATTACATTTTTGAATATGAATTTTTAAAAAAAAATCAAACTTCTTATTTTTGCATTTTATATTTTAGTACAAACATAATTCCGATAATCTAACAGATTTTTTAGTAACTATTAAACTGTTTTTCATAATTAAAGAAATATATATATCGCATAATAAATAAGTACAAAAAAACACGAAGAAAATTAAGAAAAACAATAAGTTTTATTTATTGCGCATAAACTGCAAATAAATAGAACTCATAAAATAAGTTCAAAATGTAGAGAAAACGAGGGAAAAATTACAGAACAATGAAAAAAGGGGAAAAAGGTGAAAAATAATAATAAAAACCGGAAGAAGAAAAAAATTCCGAAAAAAAGACAAAACATTTAAAAAAAATTTTTAAAAAAATCCGGAAAATAGAAGATATAATCTTTTTATCAGCTCACACGTTTATATCCGCAAGAAAGAGTGAATTTCGGATACAATCGTGTGAGTTGATGAAAAGATTCTATCTTTTACTTCCGGATTTTTTTAAAAATTTTTTTTAATTTTTTTCCGCTTCATTCATCTCCTCATAAAAAAGAAGAAAAATGGCAGAATTTCAATATTTGGATCATTTTGCATGATTTACCTCAATATATTGATTTATATTTGAAATCAAAGCATAGTCTTTTTTTTTTAAACTAAAGTGTTAGGTAACAGAAAAAACTATAGTCTAAACAAATGGGCAGAAGCCCGGAAGCTTATTTAAAGTGATAGTAAAATAATAATCATCCAAGCAAAGTTTAAAAATTTCGACATCATTTGGAGCCCACTTCTTCATTTCATATATACGTCTTTCTAATATTTATAGATTGTGGTGGTAGATATCTTATTAAATCAATTGTTAAAACAGAAATTCTGTTACCAAATTAAGTATTTGGAGAAAACCTCTGATCGGAGAAGTTAACAGATCTGAATAAATACTTCCATTTTCTTCACACTGGTGTTTTTCATATATTGACCACATATAGTGGCAGGGCTTGATGAGATAAGTACAGAGATGCCAACTTGTTCAGCATAGCGAATAAATATTTTCAAGTGGTATATTTTAACACGTTGAGCCCCTCGCTAATTTTACATGTCTTGCCCGTCAGGCCACAACGGTAAATAACTACAAACTAAATTTGCAAATATTAGACAGATTTTGCTAGTTTTTAAAAGGTTTAGCATGACATATCTGAAAAAAGTTGTGAATTATATAAGCCTACGAATCGTTTAGAAATAGTGGTGGATAAAAACCTAGTAAATTAATTTATTAAACCAAGAATCACAATAATTAAGTAAATTTTGAATAAATCTTCTGTAATTCCAGAAAAGAGTGTAAATTTTATAGTTCCATATCATGTTATACGCTGTCAGCCAGCTGTTTTTCGCGGCCTATGTGAAAGGTCAGTGTCAGCCACCGGTGGATGACGCGGCCTAAATGTAATTTCAGTGTCAGCCACCGCTGTCTGAGGCGGCCTAAATGGAAAGTCCAGTGTCAGCCACCGATGGCTGACGTGGAGCTCAACGTGTTAATATATGAACCTTGGTTTAGTAAATTCGATTTATAGAGTTTGTACGAACTACTACTTCTAAATAATTCAAAGGCTTATGTGATTCGCCAATTTCTAACAGTTATGCCGTGTTGAGCCTTTTAAAAATTTGGCAAGATTAACCGAAAATCTACAATTTTAGTTGGATGTAAGTTCTCCATCGTTTTTTTAAAATGATTTGTCGAATTCAGAGTAGTTTAGCATCCCTGTAAAAATAGTGGTTAGTTTAATAATTATAAGTCCTTGTTGTTAATAATGAAATCTATTAATTTTGCATTAATATATATATACTGTATCAGTGGTACTGTATATAATTAACTAATACTGTATACAATTTACAAACCAGCCAACTTCAAAAAAAAAAAAAAAATTTAGGATGATTATACTTAGTGTTAATAAAAGGCAATTGTTGAATGAAATTTTTATGATGAAATGACAACAATTGTTTTCGGATTATTGATATATTTCGCCCATGCACAATAAACAATAATAGGAGCATCATGCGTTTATTTATGTGCTCATTTTACTGTTATGTTCTCTTTAGTTGCATCTTCACTTTATATTTGATTTTAACTTACTTAATTTAATTTTTGTACTTATGTAATTTAAATATTTTAGATTCAATTTTAATCTTGTTCAAAAGTGCCACTATTAGGCATTTTCCCTACCCGTAGCCTTGGTGTATGTCATGCACACAGAGATGGTATTACAAATATAATCTTTGAATACATAAACTTAGCTAAATTAATAATGATTTCATTAAATTATTCAATTAAAATGCTTTGAAATTAGTGCAAATTTAAATAAAATTTTGTAATATTTTTGTTCTTTTTCTTTTAGAAAACAATGAAAACGGGATGCCTCGTCGCCTGAGGACTGCCTACACTAACACGCAGCTGCTAGAGCTGGAGAAGGAATTCCACTTCAACAAATATTTGTGTCGACCGAGGCGCATTGAAATTGCTGCTTCGCTTGACCTTACAGAGCGTCAGGTCAAAGTGTGGTTCCAAAATCGGCGGATGAAGCATAAACGTCAGAGTATGATGACCAAAAATGGTGATGAAAAGGGTGAGATGGAAGGTAGTGAAACACCAACTGCTTCATCCACTCCCACTGGAAATGGTTCAACACTTTCTGGGAATGAAGGAGATACAAATAAGACAGATTCTGCTGATGACCGATCTGCTACAGAAACATCTTCTTCTGTTGGTAGTCCCGAGAGAACACCACGAGGTACTAAAAAACCTCGTGAAATCTCTTCTGATAGAACTGCCATAGACAGGTCACCTTCGTCAACAGCTGCTTTGACAGGTAGTAACGACATTGGTGATGCTCTCTCACCTTGTTCCTCTTCTGAGAGACTTTTAAATCTAGATTCAGAGTTTTCGACTCACCAACAGAATAGAATAAATTCTCCTAGTTCTGCTCAGATTAGTGCAGCGACTGACACATCGCGGAAAGGAAGTCCAGTGATCAGCGACCTAAAGTCTCCTGACAATTCACTTTCATCATCTCCGCCAACAGAACCACTCATGCACAATCTTAATGGCTTAGGCTCTGATAGGCCACAAACAATTGTTAATAGTGAGGCCAAAAATAGCAGAGCTCTATGTTCAGGAATGTCAAATGGTCACCTCACTGTGACAAGCCGAGGTGCCCGAAAACTTTCTCAATCGTGTCCGATGGACACTACAAGCATACCGTTCTGTAATTCTCCGTGCAATATTAACTGCTCACCAGTAACGAATAGTTCCCATTGCACAAGTCCTGGTGGCGTTTATCAGATGAACTCACCACACTGTCCTCCGCCCCATATGTCTCCTAGTTCATCTTATCATAGAACACGTTCATACTCATCTGCAGTTCCTTACACACCAGATCCTAATGGTTTGATGGGTTATAACCAAACAAACCACAGAGGAATGTCTCCAAATGTGAGTCAAGGTGGATATTGTTACCGCACACCACCATCTACACCAAATCAACAACAATCTTATCAGCATCCTTCTCCTCAGCGCATGGATAATGATTGGATATCGCAACAAAACTCATATGGAAACCAAGTGCAATCATCAATGTATTATGCAAGTGAGCGGTCATGTCAATCTCAACATGGATCAATGCCTCACAATTCAGGGTCACAAATGGGAAGTAATGTATCTCTAGGTTCCCATTCTGTTGCACCTCAACGGGCTACTTCACATACCTCACCCGTCTCCAAATCACCTTATCCATACTCAGTGGATTCTTTACCTCCACAAGATGCACCACATCAACCTCATTCTCATGCTGCTTACATGCATGACTACAGAAATGAAATCAACTCCAGTTATATCAACAGAAATTACAACAATCTTCATACTAACAATGGTTATGAGTCAAGTGTTAGTTCTACCGGTGAACAATATGTACCAAACAGTATTAATCCTGATGGCTCTGTCTCATATTGCTATCCACATCACAGCAATAACAACAGTGGTTATCGCGCAGATTCATTTGATGAAAATGCATCCCAAACAATTTATTATGATTTAAGCAACAGTACGGGCAACAACAATCGAGTACCCGATTACAGTGCAACAGCCCCAAAACAGAATTTTCCCCAAACAAGCAATCTCTACGAGGTGAGCCATACAGTTGGTGACACTGCAAACATTCCCACATATAACCAAAATTCAGAAAATTACAGAGGACAGTGCTCAACAGAAGGTGACTTATCCTTCAGCTATTATGACTCATCAGATAGTTTTACCTCAAATAACAACAATAATGGAGCAGCAAACAACAATTCTTGTGGTACATCTGACTTCAACTTCCTGACCTTAGCTAGCGAGTTTTCCTCATCTGAATATTATCAGCTAAGCTGAAGAAAAAAATTCATATTCTTTGCTCTAAGTTTACTTGCGTCACAGGTGCATGTATCCTACACACTGCACATGAAGGTGCATAAACCCGGTTATATATTTGTGCTAAAGCAAACCCCAGGTGACGAAATTGATTAACAATCTATGCTAAGAAGAATGGGAGTATTTATTTTCAATCAAAAGCAACCAGAGCTTTTTTTTGTTCGGTTGATTATTTTTGCAATAAATTTCTAGTCCAGATTTTATTTACTAAATAAAATTTTATTTTATTTCAAACTTTTTCTACTATCTAAAATAAACTGATACTTTAACTCAGCATTCTATCATACGCAATTTAAAATGTGCAGCGTACATTGAATTGTTTATTTTATGATTTATTGCATAGAATTTTATAAGCAAATTAGAAAATAACTATTTAAACATTATGTATCAGTTCAAACGAATTTCAGTTATTGTTTGATTATGAACATATTTTTTGAAAATTAATTCTTTTTATTATATCTAATTTTTTTCATAAATGGCAAATAAGTTAATAATAAAAATTATCATTATTGAAAATTATAGAAATAAATTTAAATATACATATACTTTTATTTGCCGGTTAATAAGAAAGTAGATAGTGTATCTATACAAGTACATTAAACACAGAAAATCGTATATATTTCATAGTTACTAATTACATAAAAATTAGATAAATAATATAATATAATTAATAAAAAAAAAACAATTTTATCTTATTTTCTATTTTTAAGCTTTAAAAAATTGTTTAAGTATGATTTATAATTTAATATTCTGCACATACACCATCTGTGATACCAAACCATTTTCTTGATAATTCACAAAAAATTATTCTTTTTGCAATTATTCATATGTTAAACAACAATTGAAGAAAAAATAAACAATCATTCAATAAAATATTTCATTCCAAAAAATCTAAATTTTGTGTATTGTCAGTATTGTGAAGATTTACTAAAAATGACGGTGATTATGTCAGTTTCTTTTCACCTGAGGTAAGCTTTTATTACAACAGAACAAACTTTGTCAGTGCAGTTTCGATCACTATGACTGTGTAGATAGTGCGTGTAATTGTATAGAGATTTTATTTGAGATGTGTTAATTGAGTCAAACCATTACACACTCTATAAATAAATAAATATATATATATATATATACATATATATATGCATCCATATTTCAACGGTGATACTTTCTTATAGATATTTAGAAACAATACTCTAAATTATTTACTTCTAAATCTTTTATATTCATCAATTGTTACAATACATAAACAAAACATTAAAATTATTATCGCTATAGTTAAATTCTGTTAAAAGTAAATTCACTTTTTTAGACAGGGTGTTCTGTAATTACCAGCTTCAATGTATATTTTTATAATAATTGTCAAAATTAAAATTAAGTATCACATTTGGTATACAAAATTAAAATTTTACCAGAAAAAAATTGAAGTTTTAAGCAAGAAAAAAACAAAAACGTAATCGAAATCTTACGAATCACAACTGAGGTAGGTGGTATTAAAAACATCAAAATCTGTTTACTTGACAGAGCAAATAAGGAGCACGTGATGATTAGGAATATCTCCAAGCTTCATGAGACAATAAAACTAATTTTGCTGTTTTTAGTCCTTACTTCCTCACAATTGATTTGGCAGATTTTGAGTTTTTTTAATAGCTCAAATGTACGTATTTATTTGACTCTATTTTTAACAAGGATTCTGAATGCACATATTTAGGGTGGTGATTATGAGACATCCTGTATGTAAACAAATATCTCATTAGTTTTTATCTTTTTTTGGGGGGGGGGAGCTAAATGACACAAAATATGCATTTTTCATCATCAAAAATTTTTGTAATAATTGACATTTCCTCCTTATTTAACTTATCATGTATTTTGCGACAAAAATACTGCATTTTTGTGATAAAAAAAAAACATTTTTTGTGACAATAAACATGTTCATGTGATAGTGGTGCAAAAGAAAACATGTGTTTAATTTTCATACAATTTTGAATATAAAGGAAAGTATGCAATTTTTAAGATTTAATTTTTCAGAAAGCATCCTGAACTGAACCTATTGATTTTAAAACCAGATAATAGGTGGTTTTACAACTTTATCTTTTAAATCTGCACCGTAAGTATAAAGTATTCCTATCATTTGAAAGACTGGAAGACTGACCGGAGGAAAGGTATCGTTATTTTCATTTTACAAACTTTTAGTATCCTTATTGCTAAAGAGTACTTTAGAATGAAATAAAAATGGATTACCTATCCCTGGATGAAAGGTAAAGAAAACCTTCATATTATGTGTAATAGATTTATGCTTATTGATTTGATGCTTTGTTGTTTATTCATGCGTCCTGAAAAACTGTATATTTACCCATCTCAGTACTGTGCTCCTAAGACAATGGAATTAGTGGAAATATGTAGTAATTACATTTATTAAAGGCTTATGTGTCCAAAGATGTCTCTTCATTTATTATTTACATATTTATTGAAAAATACTAAATAGAGATCAAGAGGGAGGAACAGTTTATATCCATGAAAGCTATTTTGAGAAAAAATATGAGTTTTTCCGCAGACATTAAATGCTTTTTCCCATGTCAGTCCATCTTCACTATGTAATAACTTTCAGGGAGAACTGATTTTCCACTTTATGGATTTGTCCAAACTTAGTGATCCTCAAAATGCAACAGATGGCGTTCCAATATTTTTTAATGGATATAAATCGTCCCTTCCCATTGATTTTAAAATGGATTAGTCTAAATTTTTAACTTTTACATTTTGGCAATCAGATTCTAAAAAAAGTGGTAGAAAAATTTAATTATGTATAGCAAGGTGGCCAATTCTGGAAACTTTTTAAAATTGGAAGAGAAAATTAAAGGAAGCAAAGCGTTTTAAATTACAGCTTTCAAAAATTATTTTCAAATTAAGTATCTGCGCTTAAACAAACCAACATATATTTTTAATATTATGGTGAACTTAAAACGTTAATAATTTTCAACATGCACCTGAAATATTTGTCAAAACATTTAAATTTTTTTTATATTGTGACCACACTGAGATGGATGTTATTTCCTTCTGAAAAAAAAAATTTTGGTTTCAATTTTCATTTTGCTCTCAATACATTAAAGTTTCAGCGACTCTAATAATTAAATTTTGAAGTGAACGGAGATAAGCAAAATACGTTTTTAACCTCAATGATACCAAATTATTTTTTTCCACCACTTTTTACACTGATTGTCCTTCCCCTGGATTTAGCGCCACCAGCAGTTTTTCCTACAATAAAGGTATGTTCATTAAACATTTATAATATGCTGCACAAGAACATACGCAAAAAAATATGATTGTTTTTATTTCATTATGTTAAAAGAATTCGGTCGTTTCGTTCAATTTGCATTATTACTAAGCTACAGCAGAAAGTCTTAATACGATAGCGGATAGCATTTTTCACACTTTACTCAGATGGCGTGAAGGGTGAACGCTTTTTATCTTTTAACATAGCAGAATATAGAACCCAATACAGAACAGAAGTTGATATAAATATCACGAATTATACGTATTCTCGAACTACGTATCGAACTGTCAAATATGTAATTCATATCACTCGCAATTTTACTTAATTCGATAGAGCAGAGACATTTTTTAGGTCATTTTTTCATAAAAGGTAAAAGTGAAAGGAATAAATCTTCTAAATCAGTATCAGGATGGTGAAAAATAAAAAGCGGTAGCTTAAGTTTGGGCAAAGCTAATTTCACAGAATTTTTTTTTTTGCTTTCACTTTAAATCGAACACATCCAATCCCTGTGTGTTAAAAGTGTAAGTATACAATCTTTAATTCGAACTAGGTAGTGGTGAATTAAATAAAGCAAACTATTATTACCCCTCCCACAAATAAACTGCTATGAAAAATAGTTTGGCTACCAGTTTTATCTTTTTTACCCAGATTATCGCCACCCTGAGAATGCATATAGACTCGCCCGTCTCGAAGAGGTTAAAGACAATATTGTTAATTTACCGACATTTAATGCATACGTTTTAATTATTTATAAATTATAATTGTCAAAAACTCTTTAAATCAAATGTTAAAACAGAAATTCGATACTTTAACCCCTTGGGGATGGGTGATTCAGAAAAGCATTCGTACAAAATCAGAATCAAGTTGCAATTAAATAAAAAACGGTAACTTAAATGTAGTCGTTACTAATTTGACAGACTTACTTTGCTTTTATTTTAATTATTGTTAGTTTAATCATATATATAATCATTGTTAATTCAAAGTATAATTAAATAGTTTTATTTTGAACACAGTAATGGTGAATTAAATAAATCAAAAAATTATAACTCCGCCTACAAATAAACTGCTAAAGAAATACTTTGATTACCAGTTTTATCTTCTTACCCTGATTGATACGGTTTTTTGCTGTCACGTATTTGTGACAGTCGGCGCGAAAGGGTTAAAACAGAGACTTTAAGTAATTGGAAAAATTCTTATGTTAAAAATCGGAGAAATCGGCAGGTTTCCAATTGGTTAGAAATATGAAGTTTTACCTTTGAATTACGGCATTTATACAAAAATGGTAGCCTACAGAAGAAAAAATTCAATCAAATATTTCTTTTGTAGTGCAACCTTTTTTACTTATTTATTTATTTTTGAAAACAAAAAATAAATAAATAAAATAAAATGAAAAAATTTTCTAAATTTATTCTAGGAGTAACTACTGGGCAAGAATTAGTTTAAAATCTTCTCTTATTAATTCTTAAGACATTGCTGACTGGTCACGAGTTAACTCGTGTTTTCGTGGCCAAGCTTTGATGACCGGCCACGAGTCATAGCAATCATGTTAGCAGTGATCTCGTGGTGACTATTTTAAAAAGTGGGCGTAATTTTCCTTACTTTTCAAGTTTTACTATTTAATTCTCTACCAATTTATTATAACTTTACGAAACCCGATATATTTGCAAAACTTGTGCTGTACCCTTACTTGACTCAAGGAACTTCCCCCGTAATTACCCATACCGATAATGCTCTTCAGCTTTTTACTTAACTTAATACTCAGATATGACTGTAAATTCACAGAGGTTTCAGAGCCAACACTCTAATCTTTTTTGCCAAAGCCATTTAGTCTCAGCCGATAAATCATTTCATCAGATGAAGGAGTGAGTACTCTGCTACAATACATATCAAGTCAAGGTGTACCATCACACGTAGGTGATTGTTATACTTTTTATCATACG